GACGGCGCTTGGCAGCTAAGAATCTCAAAGGGTACATAGCTGCAAAAAAACCGTTACTAAAAATTATTAATAAGAAAAAAAGGCTTCAATTCCAAGCCAAGAAATTCCAAGACTGGGCAGAAGAGAACTGGAAAAGAGTCTTATTTATAGATGAATCAAAGTTTGAAATATTTGGAAGTAAGCGCCGTCAATTTGTACGCCCCGTTTACCCGGGGAGCGCGTGAAGCTCCAATGCATAGCACCAACTGTAAAGCACGGAGTGAGCTCTTTGTGATGGTTTGGGGATGTTTTGGAGGGGATAAAACTGGAGATTTAGTGTAAGTAGTGAGAACAATGAAGAAAGAAGATTATCACAGCATCCTGCAGCGACACGCCAAGACATCTGGTTTGCGTCTGATTGGCAAGGAGTTCATATTACAACAAGACAACGACCCGAAACATACATCGCAACTCTGCAAAAACTATTTGCAGTCGCTAGTGAAGAAGAAAATCCTAAAAATCATAAAATGACCGCCCCAGTCCCCAGATTGTAACCCAATCGAACTATTATGAGATGACTTAGACAGGAGGATCCGCAAAGAGCGAATTACGAGTGAGACGTACCTTTGGAAGGTCCTTCACAGCAAGAATGAAAACGTATCCCGACTGAATCCCTCCAAAAGTTGATCTACCGCATGCCAAGAGTGTGCAAGGCAATCATTAAGGCAAAGAGTGGTTACTTCGAGAAGTCTAAAATTTAATTAAAATTTTATATTCTAACAGCCTGCTAGATAATGTACGTACCTTAATTTTGTTTTTTTTTTTTCAGTTAAATAAATACTTACAAAATATATCGATTTTTTAATGTATTTTCCTCATATTGCACACTCTTATAATTTGAAATCGAAATTTTCATGTTTCACGTAATGTTGTTCGAGTTGTCACATCAAACAGTTAAAGTAAATTAATCGAAAAGCAACAAAATGAAGACAATGTTTTACTTACGACGTAAAATTTTACTTAAATTCTATTTTACCTAATCTCTATGACTGCTTGATAGAATTAGAGCGCGATGTTATCAAGCGAGACGCGAATGTTGTCACGCACGACGACAACAATGCGAGGCGAGGATGCACATATTGAATTACATTTTTCTTCCTACATGAAAGAATGCTGTTGCATATTGCGCCTTGCCGGAATTTTGTCATTACACCGCGGACACCCCATAAGTAATAATTTGGTCTCTCCGTCCGTCTTTCTTTCTTCGTTGATGGATCGCTAGATTGAATTACAGCACCGCCACCGTGGCAATTTGTCGGTCTGTGGTGTAATGTCGTCTGTGACGGCGCCGGTGATCCGCGTAATGCATGGTTTTAAGAAGACTTTGAAGAGAGGGACGAATCTTAAGAGGTTTCGTGGGAAAAAGATGTGTTCAAGATTTTTTCCCATATCATAACATCATTACACACTATATCGTACAAAATAATATAAAGCATAAATTCTTATAAAAAAAAGAGAGGAAAGAGAGCACACAAAATATTTTTTATCTAACTTTTTTAATTGTTTACTTTCATTTTCTTCTATTTTTTATTCTAACTGCTATGTAGCTTATGTTAAAATAGGTCACGCTGAAAATGCGAGCGGAAATATACATATCGCAATTTCTCCGCATAATTTTGCGCGCTCACAAAGCTTGCATTATATCGATTAATTTCACATTATCTTCTGTTTAAGTATAAACAGGGGTGCGAGACGTGCTATTATCGCACGCAGCCGAGCAAAAGTCACCAATCAGCTTTCAAGTCTCGGATCGTAAATCGCGAGGCTCAATGAACTACGATAGCTCAAAAATAGCATGAGAAAATGCAAATAGAGAAAGATGCAATCCGAGTGATTGTGATGCGGTGTAAATTTCGCGTTTTCTCCCCGAGTTTTTTCACTTCCTCGCAAACACATCGTCGAAGATGATGACAAGAGACACTCGAAGGAAATGTTTGAAATATCGAGCAGAACGAAGGTTCTTCTTTTGATGCGCAACTATGGCGCACGCGCATATGTGCGGTGCCGAGTGCTCGTAATTAAGTGCATAACGAGGCTTGTTTACGCCGAGTCCGGCCGGCCCTCGTAATCTCCCGAGCCGTTTAGTCTGCTGTTTTAATCTGACTCTCTTCTTGGTACCGTGTATGTACAGTCATCGTACGATATATCCGTACACCGTGTGTGCCCGTAAATAGAAACTTTCCCCGCGCTAAACTACATTGTTCCCGAGCCAATAGCGCGACACGCCCGCAGTTTCGCCAAATGCATTTAACTCCAAAGATCTCGTGACATTAAAGGAATTATTGAATTTAAAGAATTAAGAAGAGAGCACAAAGAAACAAAAGCGAGAGTCAAATTTTTTGCTAACATACCTTTTAGAGAAATCAGATTTCTCGAACGTATATATTTTTCGGATGACGTATCAAGATTGTTCACTTTCGAGAAGCGGTTCCATGTTTATTCATGCGCGTCAAGGTGAAAATGTCAAACATTTACCACGCAACTATCGCAGATTTCTCTCACCTTTACCGTGCATTTTGCCTGTAAATGGCTCGACAAACAGCGCGGCACAAATCGACATCAATTCGTCTGGGCGTTGTGGAAGACCCGATACAATTTATTATAAGTCATCTTAGCGATTTGTATTTCCCCTCTTCTCCTATTCATTTCTTCTAATCGCAAAATATCAATGTACATTAGCAAATATATTTGACCTTTGCAATTACATGTATATATATATATATACACATATTTCTTTTTTTAATGTAGAATTTATTCTAATGTCTTGCTTGCGTGCTATTATTTTGACACGGAGTAACAATAACTGGCGCTAATTCTCACACTTCTGTAATTGTCACTTAGTTTCATATTTGCTAATCGTACCAATTACATACATATTTGTTAATAAAATATTTGTTAACTAATAAACGCACACTACTTTCTCGTGGATCACCCAGTATGTGCAAACTGTGGAATTATTTTCATGCAACGCATCTCGCTAAAGTGTACATCAGATTAACTTGCAGAACATTCGAGAATATCTTGCGAAAATTAGCCGACACCTTAGCACGGGTCATAAAATCTCACCTTCCCATGTCAAAGGTCGAGTATGCATATCGTGCTACTCACGCGATCTCACCTATGTATGCGCATGCTGTGTGTATATATACGCTACCTAGTGTACGCTGTGAATCCCTCGCGAACCCTTTCCCCTTACGGAAATTCTGTGTGCAAGAAAGGTTACACAATTTCCTGTCGTCGTATCCGCACTGGCTTAACCCTCCGTTTAGCGAACTTTCCCTACCGCATAGAGGGAATTTCTCCGTTCAAAGAAACTCCTCGTGATCTTTCACCCCGGCGACTTTTCCGAGAAAGAGTTAATTGATAGCACACATCGTGAAGGTAATAGCATTAATTAATGATCGCGGAAAGGAAGCTTGCATTATATCTTGCGAGTAGCTTTTACTTCGAAACCTTTAGCCAACGGAGTCGCGCAAATTTTATTTTAGACTTGAGATTTCCCATAATTTTTTTTTACTGATTATGTAAAATATATACAATGATCGATCACAGTATTCTCGTTACAATATTATCAAAAACCAGATATCTAGAGGGAAAGTTCTTGTTCACTTCCATACGGAGGATTTCAATATTACAAAAATTAAGACACCCGAAGAAAAGAGAGTGAGATCTTCTCACCATGACAACGCGCACCCTCTCATCTCTCACCGAGAGTGTTCTTTTCTTTTTTTTTTTTTTTTTTTAGTAAAAAGGAAGGAAAAATCAAGTATTACCTTTATTATCGCAGACGTCACAGAGCACCATGTCAGCCGACTACAGCAAGATCAAGCAAGACGCTTGTTCTACCGCGTGCTTGCATTTGCACTAAGATATTTCGTGACGTAAGGTAACATCGAGGAGTAGAAATGGCAGCGAAGGGAGAATTTTGAGGACAAGGAAAAAATGGAACAAGATGAAAGGAAGCGAGACGGTGTTGGACGAACGAACGGATGAACGGCACTATCGATCGGATTAGTCTGTAAAACGTTAACAGTTTGACAGCCACGTTTGTACTGACGACGCGGTACATCGGCCTGCATGGGTAGCAGCAACGAGATAGAAGAAAGAGGGGGTGAGACCGATGCGACGGATACGATGTAGTGGGGACGCCAGATCAATATTAGGGCGTAGACTCAAGGGCAAGGGTCGTTAGCAGGGCGAACGTTCTATATATACGGGGTGTCGATGCTCTAACCGAAAATTCGTTCAGGGATTGATTGGAGTCAAACTTTTTCGACAAAAGTTCTAGCGCGTATAAAAAAAAAACAGAAATCAGAATCAGAAACTTTTGAGCATCAAATCGGATCAAAAGTTATCAAATAAATATGTACATGTAAATATATAAAATATATATGCAATATATATGTGTACGTTCCCGAGAACTTTCAACTTGAATTTATGTTCCTCTTTGCATAAGCGTCCTCACGCTATTTAGTATCTACATATCCGGGTCGAAAGCTTGGTATATGGATAGAATCATCACTTCAGAACTTTCATTATAAATCTGAGAGAATTCGTGTGTTCGTTTCTCTGTTGAAGGCATATACAGAGACATCTTTATCTACATATGTGTATGTATGTGCGTAAAGAAACATACACTCTATATTAAGGACTACACCCTGACCTGCGGTAGTAACATAAATGAACGAATGAACGAGCGAGCGTGAGGGAGCTTTCTAAAAATAAGAGTATTTCTCGAGAAATCAATGGGTCCGCTAGATGTGCTTTAATTTTAAAACATTCAGTTCAAAATAAATTACTGTTCATCGCACCCTTCCAACTATTTATTATTAAAAACATTCGAAAGTTTCGTGCTTCAATGATCAATTGCTTTAACTAAATTCGAACGCAGGGTTTACATTTTTTTTTTAGAAGAACTCACTAAAACGCGAATTATCAGATATTTATTTTTTTTTAATTACCTTTTCGCTGGTCCTCGCTGTCGGAATGAAGTTCAACGTCGTGCAGTCTCATTGATTGTACCAATCCTCGCCAGTGACTTCTCGAGTGTCTTCTGTTGCCAAGATCGCTTCTGAGATCAGCCAGCTGCTGGTCGGACTCTTTCAACAGCCCATCCAGAATATCCGGTCTTTCCAGATTAGAACTAGACCTAGAATTTTCTTCCGCGCTCAATGCGCTCAATAAATCCTTCTCAAGATTGTAGACTCCTCGAGTTTCCAACTCGCGCGAGCGCTCATCCGCGGAGCAATCTGCGTCTTTCCACTCTCGGCTCTTCGAGTTCTTCTTTCTGCGAGCGGGAGGACGCGGCTGATCTTCTGAACTCGTCTCTTCTCTTTCCTTTTGCTCGTCTTTCGAGTCCTTTTCTAAAATCTTTTCTTGAAAAATTTTATTCGACGTTTTTTCGTTCGCGTCCTTGGTTGACGTTCTGTTTGACACGTTCCTCGGATTGTTGTATCGATCTTTTAAGCACTCCCGATTGCCTCTAGACGCTTCTAGGAGCTTCTGCGCTAGCAGTCGAGTTCTGTTGATCTCGGTTCCAGATTTCCTCTCTTCTTTTTCCAAATCGCTCTTGATTTTTCTCTCGTTGTTACTTCTGGTCGCCGTTTTGGGTGAGGGATCTGTCGATTGAAACATTTGCTGGATCTTGAAGATGTCCGACCGAATCTTGGCCGAGGTCGGCGGGTCGCTCTTTTTGTTTCGAATCGCCAATTTCGATTCGAATGATCGTCCCATTCTCTGCGACGAATCTCTGTGATTTCTCTGTGTTGGTTGAGTGTTTCTCAGTCTTTCCAGATCTTTCAGATTTGCCAGAAGGGAACTGTGAGTACGCGGTATTCTGGCATTGCCTTCTTCGAGACCGACGTCGACGCTGCGCGGTCGATTACGAGAATCCGGCTTGCTGATTTTGTCGATCGGCGTCAAAGATTGATCCGTGAAGACGGTCTCGCGAATTTGACTGATGTTGCGCAGCCTGGGCGCGCCGATCTTCATTCCGGTGGTCCTCATGATTACCTTTTCGACCGTCTCAATATCCCGTTCGCGACCCAATCGTCTCTCCTCGATCAATCGCGCCCGATTTGCGTCGATTGGTACTGCAAAGGAATTGTGATAAATCGATCCCTTAACGGAAGCGGCAGCGCGTGAATTCGGCCCGGAATTGATGGGCCTGCTGCTGCGCAACGGAGACACTCGAACCAGTTTCGGCGCATCTCTGGGATCGTCCGTTTGCAAACTGCCTCTGTACACCATCTTTCTCGGTTTTGTTTTCTGATTTTGTTTCTATTCGTCGATGCGAATAAAACTCATTCACAGTGTGTCATTGTATACACCTAAAAAAAAATTGAAAATATTAGTGTTGAAGTAATTAACAAAAAGCAATGTATATGTTGTTATTAAATTATTATTAGCTAATGAAAGAGCTGAGGTCAGATTTTTGTCATTAGAGCTATTGAGCAAAAGTGTGGTTGCGCTGTTCACAAAAAAAAACAAATCACACACTCTTTATCGCGTAAGATAACTTATGAACTTTAAATAGAGCCGCGCGGATTAAAACAGAGTATCTGAAACGGCCGAGCGAGTTCGTAGAATGCCCTGTTTAACCGATACTGTAATGATGTAACTTTCCACTGTAGTTTACGTTCTACCAGCGGCTTACACGTCAACGTTAATCTATGCAAATTACAGCGGTGAAACTTCAGCACCGTTGTAACAAAAACTCACGCTTGACTGAACATGTTAACATAATTGTAATTTGAGCAAAACCTCTCAGCTTCTAGCCGCAAAATGAAATTTGCGCGAATCAATTGATTTAATTAATTTGACAAACGTTCTTTTGTGTCTCGATCGGATTAACATTGTTTTGCAATATTTGCCTACAAGACAGTTTTTGCAACTTGTTGCATACGCGCGTTTCGACGTCAGCTCGTTTCGCAAGGTCGTTTGACTCGACGTTCAAATATCACCGACCACGCTGAAAATCACCTCGGACGTGTAATTTAATTTATCAGAAAATGCGGCGAGAAGTCGACGGAGTCTATAATCGACGAGCAAGAGAACGGATCACGACCATCGGGCAGTAGCTGCGTTTCATGTGGGTGTCACGCAACGCATGTGGGCAGCGACCCGGTCGCGTGTTTTGCAACACGCGTGTACATACATGCGTTCGTGTTCGTGCGTATGTGGGTGTCGCGCGCGCGGTCGTCGGCGTTAAAACGCCCGTGTTCGGGCGACGCGCACGCGGCTGCATTCTAATCGACGTCCGCCGCGCTCTAATCGTGCGGGATCGAGAATCGTTCGATCGGAGATCGAGAGTTGACAGCCCCACGAGCTGCCATAAATGGCCAGCGGGAGCGATCGCGCGTATACGAACGAACGGCGGATGCCTCCTGCAATCGGGAACAAATCGATCATCGTCATTATCGATATTGCTACCCGAGTGTCGTCGCGCAGCGATATAAGTCCCGTGACGTAATGTTGGAGTTCTTGTCCTCTTTCTCACTCTCTCACTCTCTCTCTTCCTCTTTTCTAAAATTATTACATCATCTTCTAAAGTAAAGCTATATTTTAATTTGTAATGTGGGACGATCTTCGAACTGTCAATTATATATAAGCAGATAAAAAATATTATTTAACATAATTTCAATTAAATCATCTAAAACAATTATGGATTTCTCTTTTTTAATTTAAGACAATAAGTCTTGGTATATGATAACGAGGTGTATGGTATGTACTGGTTTCACTTGTACTTCGAATTTCTTGCGAATTACTCTCCATCGTTACGATTCCGCTAAATCTAATTAGATGCTATTAAAGATATAAACGAAGTTAAGGAAGATGACAAAAGCGCGAAACTTGCTAAAATATTTCTAAGTAGCAAACTTAATTAGTAATACTTGTTATAATTCTGATTCAATTATCTGGTTTGTATCGCTGGATTCATTTCGAATTCGTCATTAATTGGCAAGGATAAATCTATAATTGCTATAGTCTTCTCTCTCTTTCTCTTTCTGTTATTTTTAACCAACATCTAGTGACGATATTTCCTTGATTCAAGTTTAATTTATTATATTGCCGAATTCTAATTGCCGGTCAAATCGGCAATACAACTATTATATATTCTTAATTAATTCTTAAAGATAAGCATGTAAATGGTCATTTTTGTTACACATTATCTCTCATAAAAGAAACTCTATTTTTCCTGAAAAAAAAAAAACCAATTAACATTTTTTCCCGACACGATTACGATCGCTTTGGCTAACCGATTATAATCGCGATATGCCTGAATCGGCGAATCCGTCACGGATGCGCTTGCTTGCTCGAGGAAATACACAGATACACGCCAACTTCGCACGCGTTTAACGGAATTAGACGTCGTTTCCCGTGGTGCTCGCGGGGACTCAACCGAGCGAAATCCAAAATCGTCCATCACACGACGCTTTTTGCGTTTCCGGCAGCGAGCTGGCAATCGCGCGCAAGACGCAGAAAGAACGTGTATAACTGTTTGAACGTACCTGGTTTCATTTCTCGCGCGATTCGATGCGAAAGAGGCTCGAGGAAACCGTGAGAGATTCGCGAAATCTCGCGGCAAACGAACTGCTGCTTTTTCTCTTCTCGCCTCGTCGAGCTAGTAACGGGAAACTCCTGCCTTCTGCTTGCGGTCGGGTCTCTCGTCGAGTCTGTAACAAGAAAATCCATCCATTTTCCATTAGAATGCCACCACAAGGGAACGGTATTATGGTTTTCCGCACGCGCGCTGCTTCCATTCTCTCCGCTCTCGGTGTCTCGCTCCTTACTACATCGAAACCGACGCAGATCTGACCGGATCGATCTGAGTGAATAAGACAGAACAAAGAGATATCTCGGTGTTAAAAATTCAAACAAGATTTAGTAGCGTCAACGTAAAAAAAAAAAAAAACCGTTATTCTACTTTGAATTTCCTTACGATGTAATAGCAAATTCTAAAGCAGCCAAATAATTTCTGCTCACGAAAAGATGTCCCGTATACCTAACCAAAGGTAACTTCTCTCATCCCCACGACAGATGTGCGTGACTATATTTAACGCGAATATAATGATCATTACTCGAAGTTCTTCCTTCACTCAAACGTCGCATTTTGATTACGTCGGCCAAGTATTATAATGCGAATCGCATCCACCGTCAATCTCCGTGTGAAACTTAGCGGATCGACTTCCTCCGCGAATCATAGCTATTCCGAACGGACTCCGAGTGATCCAATTCCGTGTAAGTGGATGAGAAACGGCGGATAGCAAACTGTTCTCGCCGCTGCTTGACAATATAACTATGCAATAACAATCTGTTTTAGAAAAAGCAGACTGCGTTCTCTACTACTACCATGCATTTAATATTTACGCGCTGATGCTATGTTAGAGACGAGTGACGTAATATCGAATCAGCATAATTTATCATTCTCCGTGTAGCAACAACTCGTTGGCCGTTCCACACCGTTTGAAGATCGCTGCACATAGCAAGTGACGTAATCGAATCAAGATAAATCTCATTAGCTGAAATTTCGCCTGATTTAGCTCGAGTCTTCTCAAATTTATATCTCGATTTATTATCAACTGTTAATTTGTTTTTTTTTTTTTTTTTTTGAGTCAATATTCCAGTGCACATTGTTAACTCGATAACTGATTAATTCATTGTTAACTCGATAACTGATTAAATTAGTTACTTAAGATTGTCACTCGTCTTTAGCCAAACAAAAGTTAATATGTGTGATTTAACAGTGACTCTTTACGACATAATTTCTCGAATTAATTATCCTCGTATTACGCGATCACGTTACTTTCTGTGTCGATAACAGGTTAATTAAAATTTCTCTGATCGCATCTATATTATAACACCACGGCCACTCCACGCTTGGAAAATCACTAGACCAACTTCCGTGAGTAAGAAACGGCTGATTTACAAGTCTACGCTTCTTACACACCACGCATGTAACGCTAATCTCGCTCTTACCAGAATGCTTGTTATATTAGTTCAAAATGTGCGGAAATGAACGATATTGTTCGATCGCGCGAGATAACGAGTTCAAATTAATTTGAAAATCTCGTGAGGTGAATCGTGAACTTTTGTTGAAAATCTTTGCGTGTGTGTAAGAATCAGTAACTTCGGCTTTTTCTACCGATCCTCCTGATTACGAACAATCTGTTAGGTACATTTAATTAACCACATACTTTCTTCAGAATAATGTAGTTCTTTTTCAACATGATAATTTCCTACTGCAAATATAAAAACTGTGTTTTTTTATCAGTATATCGATACTTAAAGTTTTCTTAATTAGAGTTATAATTACCTCTTTACATAATCCAAAGTAACAGTCCAAAAATTCTCTTCAGCTTCCGAGAACTCAGCTGTTCGACTCTGTCAAACTCTCTTCTTATCTTCCTTTATATCAATGTCTGCGTGCGTGTGTGCGTACGCGATAACACTATTTGAAGACCTGACTCGTATCCGGAAAAGAGAGCGCGAGTCGTCGACACATCATTCGGCATTCACGAAGCTTTATCGTCAAGAACGTTCACGGCATCGCGCGCGATTATTCTGTCATAATTGGCACGGAACCGACCTTTTCACAATACGCTTTGGACACGCGTCGAATCACTTTCAAAGATGCGTGTTTCACACGGAAACGAAGATCTCTGTTTTTTTTTTTTTTCATGCAACGTAATTTTTTTGAGAGAAGCAGTATTTTTCACAACTATTTCAAATTATTTTGGTGTCGTTCAGTTTTTAGTCTTCTTTTCATTATGTTAATGTCTTCTCGAAGTATTTCTATTTTTTCAAATTTCAGTTTTTTATTTAATGGAAATATAAGTGCATTGCAATATATATGTTGTATATATTTTATTATCTTCTCCGGAATTGTTTTACAATATTTAATTTTCTAATATAAAGGCAATTTTTCACTTGTCGCTTCTTCTCTTCTCACTTTAGCTTTCTTTTTGGCGGGCTTATCTCGCTGCACTGTTTTGTTGTCACTCTTGTGCATGCATCACTCGCGGAGACGATTCACGGCTGCACCATGTGCTCCCGTGCCGTGAGAAGCACTGAATGGGTTCGCCAGACACGAAACATAATCGCGTCAAGCAGGCAAGCAGCTACACAATACACATACATACACGCGCGCATTATACAGAGCTCTTTTCCTTTCCATTCCATTCCATTCCATTCTGCCGCTTCGGCAGTGGGGTACGTCTTCCCCACTGTGTACGTATATAACACAGCCAACACACCCACGTGACACCTGGTATATTTACGTGGGACGCCGACGTTGGCGGGAGAAGGAAAATAGAGATGAAGATTTACACAGATTTATTTTGTGTTGAGACTCATGCAAGAACAATAAAAACTTAATTGTTAAGAGTGATGCAATTGGCAGATACATCAATAAAAAATTGACATTAAAATTTATCAAAATGTAAATTATGACAAAAAGAAGTTAACAGATAAGATTTTTAACTTAGACAGAAAAAGAGAGAGACAGAGAATTCTTTTTGACTTGGTTTTGTTTTGAGAAAAGACTGTTGCAAGTGACAAGAGCAGATTTCACGGCCGTCATTTTAGGCAAAAATATGATACGGCAATTAAACGCTTTTACGATCGACCGTTTTGCAACGGTACTTGAGTTGTGACATTAATTAAGCGACTGAAGTTTCTTTCAGTTTTGACATCGAATAAACGGTGTATTGACGTTCTGTCATTGTTGACAAATAAGTAATTTAATGAAACGTTTAGTATTCAAACAAATACATCGATGTTAATCAATAAGAAATTTATGTCGCTAAACACGACGGAATTTTTCACAAGTGGCCGGGACTGATCATCTCGCATAACTTAAGTTTCCTCGCCATTCTTAAGTTTCCCTTTCTCTTCGGCAAGAGTCGTGCTTGACATGCATATGTCAGATTATGTTCCTTCTGCGCATACAGAATCAGCTTGCAAACGTAGTAGTGGGATGACAGCACGAGGGGAATACTTAAGTTGTGAGGGTTTGTGACCTTAAGTTATGAGGAGAATTAAGTTATGAGATATCTCGCTGATTACTAATCTATGTTTTGAATAAGTTCTATGTATATAATATATATATTCTATTTTTTCTTTAAGCACTCATTAATTATTTCTTCCTGTCATATACAACACCTATTACATCAATTATTTACGATCTACTAAGCAAATTATTTATTTCAGAGTTAAGCGTTATAAAAAATTAATATGTTGTAGTTTGTCTGTGACGGTCTAATTAAATTACCAAATGCTTTTATATATAAAAAGAGAACGGTTCGAAGATATCCAACCGCGGTATTGAGGACGACGACCTACGTTCTTATTGGATTCACAGTTTCCATCTGCGAGATGGTAATTGCTGCCGCTTCCTCTAAAAGCCATCAAGTTGCCGACAGTCTTCCATAAGGATAAATGACCCGGCGCAAAGCTAACACCTACCTTCGTTGTCGAACACGTTAATGATCTTTGCAGTAGTCTCAAAGAAGTCTCATTGATGGAGAATGTTACTGCAAGAGCTTTCAAACTAAATATATATATATATATATATAGTCACATTGTGCGATCTTACGGCTTCATCTCTGAAGAACTCGCCTGTTGTTATTATCGTCATTCTTCCGTAACAATCGTCATTATCGAACAAGAAACATTATTGTTTCCTGATTCGCAATTATTGTTACGATCGGATGCAATAACTTTTCTTGTGTCACTACTACGCTCCGCAATATAATAGCATTCTTCTGGACAAGCCCAGAGATGACACACGCGCTAACAATGGATTACCACGTGCGACGACAGAAAGAGAGAGAAAGAGAGAAGAGAGAAATTCCGTGTCGTGAATTGTTATTTTCCTCGTCGAACTGCGACGGTTGGCGACGATATATAATCATGCGTTTGTAGAGAATTAAAGCTTTAAAAAGCTGATAACTCATAATCCTAAACTCATGCATTGCACAGCTATTAATATCTCGGCAAGTGGTTACACCTAATTACTCGCATTTGCATTTGTAATTACACAAGGGAAAACTAATTTGCATAATGTTGTCTTTTATTTCGGGCAAACTACACATACACGCTTACATATATTTTTTATGAAAAAAGATCCAACAATAACTCGTTTATTCTTTCTTGCGTAACCGTGTTTATTGCATTAAACGGAACTCAAGATGATCCACCGATGATATGGAAACAATTTTTGCCGTCACACATGTAGCTATCGCGTGCTGTTCAATTTTTCGCTTATTACACTCTTGTGCAAAGACACGTTTATTTCTGCAATTAATAATCAAGCTGCCATCGTGTTACTATCTTCGATGCAACGGTAAAGACGATTCATGTATATACAATACACATATGTGCACATTTGCATATTGAAGCGCTTGACGACTGCCGGTAGTCCGATGTGTCGGTATTGGAGATTGATGCGTACGTGCAGATTTTCTCTAATGAGGCAAGGGTCACTTCCGGTCAAACAGAAAACGGAAACATAGCGCGTGCTCGCTCACATCCGTTACGCCTGGCAGCAATTCTGCCACCCAAATGCGTATCGAATTGACTACGCCTGGAAACTGCAAGACGTGGAAGTGTTCTCGCTTTTACAATAGCATAATATTACCATCTCATCAGAAATTCAATTCCAATACATCAATCATGAAACAAATCACATTACACAATAGAGAAATAAATTATATAAATTAATTTTTTAAGTAGCAATTTATGAGTGTACACACATACATATAATATAGAATATTTTCTATTTTTTATTACTTTATTATGGCAATCCGATTGATTTTACGTTTTATTCTTCTGAAATATTTTAAGATCAATATTTCATTTTATGCCAAGTACTTCACGTTGCTCTTGAATCAAATAAAATTAAAAGCATAATACCCTTTCTCGATTATTAGAATAAATAGCGCCAACAATGCACCGCATGTTATTATTGTTAAAGTCAGCGCAATATCTTCTAAACTAACCGATTCGTAAATTGTTTTCGATGGAATATTGGTTAAGAGATATCCATTTTTCAATTTGTTCATAACGCCGTTGTTCTGAAATCGTTGTAAGCTAAAATTGCAAAAAACCACAAGTAACAAAATGTTTATTTGTCAAATTCGACAACTAAATCAATTCAAATATCATTCAGACATATATTATTATGTAATTACAATACTTATATTCAGTTATTTATGAAACGTAAATGTTTCATATTTTACGAACTTACTGATAATTTATAAATCCGGTGTAAGGATTTCCCTTTGTTAAAGCCATTGCAATATTGTCGACTTCTCCACTTTCTATATAAACAATCTTACAATGTAAATACATCTTTGCAAAGTGTCTGAATATCTCCGAATTGTAAAATGCCAAGTTCTTCTTCTTGCAAAGCTGTGATTTGACGTGAACATAGTAAAAAAGATTCTTTATTAATAGTAAAAATAATATAAATAAAATTGCTAACTTGTTTGAATCCATCTATAAATGTAGGAGGTAAGTTTTTCTTATCTTCCATTAATTCAAACATTTTCGAAAGCACAGAATCTGTGACATGCTGCAATTGTATAATAAAATTATGTTGCATTATTTTGCATTGTTATGGGATTATTAGTAAAATTCTTTTTACTCACTTCTGACATATCGTACTCGGCGCTATATTTTGTTACAATTACTTTATATGAGCCATCTTTAACAAAATCCTCTATAGTAGAGAATGGCAAACAACCAGTAGTAAGTGTCAAAGAGCTGATTACTGAAGCGGAATAAGCGGATAGGATTACTATTGATGAGATATAAATAGAGAAAAAAGCCAATCTCATTGACGATTCGTTAGGAAATTCTGTAATTTTGCAAAAATTTTGCTTGCATTATTAAAAAGAAAATATGTTGTATATAAATATATGTTGTATATCAATTTTTGACTTATCTTTCGCAATAAATAATGTATATGTAATACTCTTTGTGCAATGCGATACAAAAATACAAATCTCTCTACCTGGTAGACTTTGCTGGCAATAAATTCCCCAAACACGAATATAGTTTTCGAATATTGAGCTTATCGAGAAGCATCCTCTTGTCTCCATAACAGTTAACAGAAGAGATGCAGTTATTATTACCGTTACTAACATTATCCAAATTCCGAAACTAAATGACTGTAAAACTCATTATTTAAAGAAAGAAGAACTGATTTGAATATTATTTTATTCTAAGCATTTTAATATATTTACATATAAAAATATTTAAACACGTTTCGTATAATATTTAAATATAATTTTTATATACTTTTTAGTAAAATTTTTTTATACTCTTAAAAAATATAATATTTTAGTTTATTTCAAATTCATGTTTAAGTAAATTCAAACTTGAATATACTTATGTGTATATTACCTTAAAGTATCCGGACCATTGCACGTTAGACCCGGTAGGTTGTTTAAAGTACAAGCGATTTTGCGAGCGTACCAACGGCACCGTGAAGTCGACGGCGTAGAGTCTGCTTGACGTTATCGTAAATTCGGAGGCGCCAATATCAGCCTCACTGGTCACTAATTGACCGATCACGCCAGTCCACGTCATGTCATTCCAGTCCCAACTGCCGTATGCGTCTACCGGATCCAGAATCGCTAACGTGAAGTTCATCACTTGGCTCAATTCTATCAGCAATAGGCCAAGAAATCCGCCAATTTTGTCGTTTTTCAATAAAAAGGACGGCGATTCCTTTAAACATCATTTATTAAAAGAATCCTCAAAGTAATTTATCACGGTTGGTGTTTACATGTCAACGATAAAATCTAATATTGATTTTGTGACAAAGCGAGTCGACCTTTATAAAGCAAAACTTTTGTTTTGCGAGAATTCTGCTATTTATTACTTGTTTATGCTATTTATTATTTTTTTATTATCTATATACATGCTGTACTTGTGACTTGATCTTGGAAATATTTAGGCTTACTTTCGCGGAAGCTACGCGCAGGACTTCGCCAAACATATTGTTCCTTCTATCGTATAGGCTCTTTTGCGTCTTTAAAATTAGACCTTTATCATCATTCCACGTGGCCAACTCAAAAGTCCTAGTACGATTATCTCGAATAGCGTACCATTCCATCAGGATCGGATGATCATAGCACAGTACCAACATGAGAGTGCTGAAGTCCACATTGAACATGTTGCCAGTGGGATCCACGCAATATTTCTCAAGTGGATTGCCAGGATGCGGAAGGAAGATCACAAACCAAGCGGGAAAGGAAATGGGCTTTATGTCTCTTGTGGCCTTGATGAATTCATTCAAAGTTTTATCAGTGTCGAGAAGAACGACAAACAGTGGTCGTATGAACGTCTTTTGATATTTATTGTACTCATTTACCAAATCTAAGAAAGTCATCGTTGCAGTCATAACTTGCTTCTGCGAGAATTCTAGTGACCACGTGTGCGCCAATGTGGTAAAGTTTAAATCTGCAATATTATTTGCTTGTAAGAATAAAGCCGTATTAGAGAATTTTGTCTTTACTATTTCTTTGGATTTATTTTATGTATTATTTTTTTCTGTTACTTACCAAAATAATAACTTTCCGACTGCACAAAAACAACGCTAGAGGACCAATAATATTTGCGAACGTCGTTAATCAACCGAAAGTAATTGCTACTTTTTATATTTTTTGTCGTTGCTCTGATGATTAGAGCAAAGAAAAGCAATGCGATTAGTCGTACACTCATACACTTCATCACAGTGGTAACGAGTTAAAAGGAAAGAAGTAGGAACGGTTTCACACGATTTAAAGCTGCAAATGCGCGACTGAAGGACAATTGTCGCGGACGTTTGTTTTATCGGATCGAAAAATCTAGAGTTGCGCGTAAAAAGGTAGTGTTGTCGGGTAGTGTAAATGTATGTAAGTTGCATATTAGTATCACATTGTACACGTATGTTTTTTATCGATAATCAATGAATTTCATCTACAAAATAGTAGCAAGTATTTGTTGTTGTAAAAAAATTTCTCGATTTTAAGCACAGATATTCGCACTTTTTATTTTTTGTTTTATATTATTTTTATCATAAATGAGTAAAACATAATACTTTTTCAATAATTGTATTATTTATTACAAACCTGAGTAGTAACCAGTCGCAGGCATAAAAAACATAAAGCACATAAAAAAAAAATTTTTAATATACAAATACACACACATATATATAGTTTATATCTATTTTCAATATCTGAGAGATGTCACTACAAAACCAGCGATCTACACTTTTCAAAATTATTTTATTATGGCCAATATCCAACTGATCTCACATAATTTCTTTGAAAGTTTTGTTTCCTTTGAAAATTTTTGACATTATGTTTTTGCAAGTTTAAGCCAAGATTATTGTTTCGTTTTATAATACGCAATTTGTTGCTCTTACTTCGAGCTTTAAAAGTATAATACGCTTTCTCTATTATCAGAATAAATAGTGCCAAGAGTGTACCAAATGTTATTATTGTCAAAGTCAGAGCAACATCTTTTAAACTAACTGCTTCGTAAGTTGTCTTCGATAGATCATTTGTTAAGAGATATCTATTTTTTAGTTTGCTCATAACGCCGTTGTTCCGAAATCGTTGTAAACTAAAAATTGTAAATGTAAAATATTTATTTGTCAAGCTCGACTATTAGTAAGTAAATCAATACATTAAAATTTTAAATACATTTAAATATATAAAATTATATATTTAATTATATACTTAATTCGATATAATTATATTTAATTATATACTCTTAATTCAATATAATTATCGCAACAATAGTTTACAAACTTACTGATAATTTATAAAGCCGATGTAAGGACTTGCTTTCGTTAAAGGTATGGCTATATTGTCCATTCTTCCGCTTTCTATATGCACGATTTTACATTGTAAATGAATATCCATAGCATTCTTGAATATCTCCGTTGTATAAAATGCCAGTTTCTTCTGCTCACAAACCTACGAATTAATATAATAATAGCAACATTCTTAACGAAACCTAACAAAGTCTAATAGATAGTGAAAGTAAAATATTAGCTAACTTGCTTAAATCCATCTAGCATTGTAGATGGTAAATTTTTGTTGTTTAGCAATTTATACATTTTTAAAAACACGGGATCTGTGACAGATTGTTGCTGCAATCGTATATAATAAGATTATGTTGCATTCTTATTGAGATATTATTAATAAGATTCTTTTAACTCACTTCTGACATGTCGTGCTCAGCGCTATTTTTCATTACAATTAATTTATATGAGCCATCTTTAACGTAACCTTCTATAGTGGAGAAAGGTAATACGGCAGTAGTAAGCGTCAAAGAACTGATTACCGAAGCGGAATAAGCGGATAGGATTATTATTGATGAGACATAAATAGAGAAAAAAGCCAACCTCATTGACGATTCTCTAGGAAATTCTGTATGATTCCGCAAGAAGTTTGCATACATTATTTCAAAAAGAAATACATGTATATTGTATATAAATTTGATTTATTTTTTACGATAAATTTATATGTAAAACCTTTTTATATATTACTTATGCAATGCGATATAAAAATAAGAAGTGTTTCTAACGAGCATTACCTGATAGACTTTGCTGGCAATAAATTCCCCAAACACGAATATAATTCTCGAATATCAAGTTCATCGAGAATCGTTCTTTGGTCTTCATAAAAGTTAGCAAAATAGAAGAAATTATTATTATCGTAAATAACAATGTCCAAATTCTGAAGCTAAATGCCTGAAAAATTCGTCGCTTAAAGAAAAAATAATTTTTTCTCTAATCTTTGGTTTTACGCACTCTTGTGTATCTATTATTATTATTATTTCATAAAAATTTCTTTTGTTAAAAATGAACGTTCTGAAAAGTGGAGTAGATGTCGTACTCAAGAATTACTCTCTACTACTTGTTATAATTTCACGTAATTTGTTTACATTAATTACCTTAAAGTACCCGGACCATTGTACGTTAAAACCGTTAGGTTGTTTAAAGTATAAGCGATTTCGCAAGCGTATCAACGGCATCGTGAAGTCGACGGCGTAGAGTCTGCTTGACGTTATCGTCAATTCGGAAACGCCAATATCAGCCTTACCGGTCACTAACTGACCGATCACGCCAGTCCACGCCATGTCATGCCAGCTCCAGCTGCCGTACTCGTCCACCGGGTCCAATATCTCTATGGTGAAGTTCATCGCTTGGCTCAGCTCTATCAGCAGCAAACCAAGAAATCCTCCAATCTTGTCATTTTCCAATAAGAAGAATGCCGACTCCTTCGAATATCATTTATCAAAGAAATAAACATCAGAATAGAATTTGTCACAGTTGATATTTAGATGCTAACAATAAATTCTAATATTGATTTTGTGACAAATCGCGAGTTGATTTCTACAGCAAGATTTCGTGTTCGAGAATTCTGCTATTTAGCAATTTAGCAATTTTATTATAATTCTATTTCTGATTTTCTAAGTGACTTTATTCGTGAAAATAACTTGAGCTTACCTTCACGGAAGCTACGCGTAGAGCTTCGCCAAACATGTCGTTCCTCCTGTCGTATAAACTCTTCCGCGTCTTCAAAATTAGACCCTTATCATTATTCCACGTGGCCAATTCAAAAGTCCTAGTGCGATTATCTCGAATAGCGTACCATTCCACCAGAATCGGATGATTGTAGCACAAGACCAACATGAGAGTGCTGAAGTTCACATTAAACACGTTGCCAGTGGGGTGCATGCAATACTTCTCAAGTGGATTCCCAGGGCGCGGAAGAAACATCACAAACCAAACGGGGAAAGAAATGGGTTGTACGTCTCTTGTGGTTTTGATAAATTCATTCATAGTTTTATCACCGTCGAGAAGAACAACAAACAATGGTCGTAAGAACTTTTTTCGATAATTTGTGTAATCATTCACTAAGTTTGAGAAAGTTATTGTCGCAGTTATGATGTTTCGTCGCGAGAACTCGCGCGACCACGTATGTATCAATGTAGTAATGTTTAAATCTGCAAAGAGATGAGTTGTTTGATACTTGTTTGATGTTGATAAATGAGATATACTAAATGTAATGTTTACTATTACTTAATCAATCACACACATAATTTATTCTATTTAATTTAATACACTTAATTTACAATAGTAACGAAGTTTAAAAAAAAATTTTATGTTCTGTCTGATACTTACCGTGATAATTTTCCGACTGCACAAAAGTGACGCAAGGCGACCAATAATATTTGCGAACATCGTTAATCAACCGAAAGTAATTGCGGTTGTATATTGTTTTCGTCATTGCTCTGGTAATTAGCGCGAAAAAAAGCATCGCGATTAATTGCATAGTTGTACACTTCATTGCAGCGGAAGGAAAAGAAAAGAAACAGAAATTTTACGATTCAAAACTGCACAAATGCGCGACTGAAAGACAGTCGTATCGCTGACATTTATCGGATTGACCAATCTAGAAATGCGCGCGAAAACATTGTCGTCGACTGGTGTAAATGTGCATGTCGTATTAGTAAGTGTTGAGATGCACATATGCTCTTTACTCTTTGTCATCAATCGATGAATTATCGGCGAAACAGTACTGATCATTGCAAACCATTTCTGCCTTTTAAGAACCACTACCATTTATTTTCCGTTTTATGCCACTGTGTATATGTGATGGTGGTTTAGGTTTTAGCGATAAAGATATTTTAGCCATAAACAGGTATAAATTTACATTGGTAAGGTATATCAAAAAAGTCAAAAAATTCTTAAAATTTTGCATGATTTTTTAATAACATTGTGTTATATAATAGCATGTATTTTAATAACAATTATTACTACATTTAATTAAAATAAAATAGAATACTTCTTTTGTGGCAAATTGAATATCTATAACATATCAAACCGTTGATATGTAATAGGACTTACTTGGAATAAGAGCTTGTAAAAGAATCAAGCGTGTCACGCGCTATGGTTTCGCGTTAAAAGAAATCCTTCCGGTATATAATTCGCGAGTGTGTTCTATTGATTTCACGCGTGTGTTTATACAGAAAAACTTTTATTTTCACAAAAGATGCACAAAACTTTGGCGATTCTCCTCGCTTCTGACATTTATAAAATCCAAGATGGTCGCGAGGTAGTATCGAGGAGCCTTAATAATAACAATTTAAAAAAGTATACACATGTATAAATTTTTTTTAAATAAAGAAATAAAAAAATGTTCCGAATGAAATAAATTTGACTACACTAGGAAAATCTCTTATAATGAAAATAGCTGTTTACACTTCTACAGTATGTATATTGTTTACAAAGCTAGTGTAATTTATGTGGAAATATAATTAACATATATAGTTTCACTGTTCTATATATATATTTATGTATATATAATAAGTAATACTTAGCTATTGAAAAGATTAATAATTGGATAACTGTTATTGACTTCACGCGCGCAACAGTACTTATAAGTATTGACTAAAATAAATCTCTATTTGTAATGTAAGCAAATTGTTACATCGGAATGTACATATCCGAATGTGAAATATTTTGAGATTACTGCTCATCAAACTCATTATATGTAATAACCAGTATAATAAAAAATGAGTTATACAAAATGATCTGTATAAAGACTGATGATAAGAAATACAGAATACAATTAGATATTATATATTATATAGTATTATAGTTGCTTCCCAGCAAGAAAACATAAATAAACATATCAGATATGTAAGACAGCTGTGTAGAACTGTTTATTGAGATATTATTTGTATGACACATTAAGACACTTTAAAAAATACATAAAAAAACAAATTTTAGAAAAAAGGATTTTAAGTTTTACAACTGAAAGTTTTTAAAATTGTTCTTCATATAATTGACAGCCTGAGTTCAACTTACAAACCTTGACTTTAATCTCAGCTGTATATACTTTTGTCAAAATATATATATACTGTGTCATTGTAAGAAATGTCAACGCTATGTCAAAGACTATGTGACTTTGTGTTGTGTTTCTTACTAGAAAGCAACCTATGTAAATACATCAAAGAAATTAGAATTAACCAGTATCTTCAACCATAATCTACACTGAGAGCACTCAGACCTTTCTTTTTGATCGCTTCGTCTATGGCGCGTTCCAAGAAATCTTTTGGCTGATCACATTCATATACCTTATCTGTGTCCAACGCATCTAACCGCATATTGCATCTTCCCGTTTCTACATTGCTATAGACAGCTCCGTAAGGAAAGTTCTCGACTTTATACATACATTTAGATGAAAAAGAATCTACACCTATGCATTTACAATAATGTGGGTGGAAGGCCATTTCAGCCGATTGAACTAAACCATGATTTCGAATCGCCATCATCACCGCGGTATCTTCCATGTCGTTCCTTCTGTAAGACAAATGAAATCTGGAACTGATAGAATCTTCTTCCAGAGGATCTGATGGATGCATCATTCTATAATATGCCATAACTTCGTTAATACTATTGTCCATAGATCCTTCTTCCTCTTGGAAAGCCTGCCATAATTTTAGTTTCTCTTCTATATGTATTTGATACATAATTTCATCATAATCGATATTTCCTATGTTGTTGGCTGTTTTCTCGATACTTGTACTTGTATGTTGATCCTAGAGAAAAAGTAAGGGCAACATTTTATACATAATTCAGAATTCTCTTATGCACAATACACACATACATATATGCACAAAATATGATTTGTTGATAAAACGTGATAAGTCTCTTAAAAATCTCTTCTACTGTAAATAAATTTTTATATATTGATAACAAAAAGTCCTAGCAAGAAAAACAAAAATATCACATGTCAACCAGTAAATAAATTACCGCGTCTGAATGAGTTTCATTGACTTGTGACAGTTGCGCGCAATGTCGCTTAGCCGGGAAGGAAGCGCAGTTGTGTTCGTTTGTGTCCGAATCCTCGTCGTCGCTCGCCATTAGCTCAGCGTTGCGCCAGAGCTTCTTTCTGGCGCGTTCCTTATTAGCCGGGTTCGGAAAAGCTGGGAGAAGAAGGATTTCGTGCTTGTCCATATTCGTGTACAACTCGACATTCGACTCCACGACGTCGCTCGTCGTTTCTCTGTTCTCGTTTTTGAGAACTTTCGCCAGCGCGCGTTTCCTTTCTGGATGCGTATGCGGACGATTTAATGATCTTCTTCCCGAAAAATCTCAGCGAAGATACAACAGGGCTGTAGTCGAAACTAACAACATCTCCGACCAAACGGTGTTTATCTCCGACAAACTCGGTGTAACTACCAAGCTTCGGTCGGCTTGGCCGTCATGTTTCCTCACGAGCACTTATTTTTACAATTGAAAACGTCGTCAATTTGCGCGGGGAATCACTCGAATGACGACGTGATCTCCGTGACTAACCTGAACGCCAACCGTCATGCTCCAGGTGCGGAACGATGAACATCGAACACATTGAATGCGACTGGAATCTGCACGAATGAAAATCGAACATCCTCAGCAATTCTCAAGCAAGAATCGCTTTTGACAGCTATAAGATGGCGGATACCACCTGCTACTACTGTGATGGTTGAGACGCAGAGAAACTAAATGAATGAGAACATTACGATACGTAATGTGATCTCGAAATAATCTAAGATAATCACAAACACACGTTTACAGTTATATGAAAATTACAATTCGACGGATAAGTGGAAATCTGATTCGTCTTGACAAAAACGCGCAGTTCAACGGAACTGTTAAATTGAACCACCGATTCCAAAATGGCGCCAACATGTGGTCCACATCTCGGTGGGAACTTGACGGCTGATCTGTCAAGCAGCGGAACTTCTGGTGTGGCCCTTTTACGAGATCGAAAGATCACGAATTTTTTTTAAGTGTAAAATTTTTAAATAACTATTGTTGTATTATGGCAACCTGTGGGGAATACATTCGTAGCCAGTTTCCGACAATAGACGACGATCTGTATCAATACGTAAAAGGTATGTATTTCGTAAAATAACCTGGAAGATTTTTCGTCTGGTATCGCATGACGGCTTCTTTATATTTGTATGTACAATGTTCTTGTGTATTGTGAAGATATCCTGGACAGTTCCAAGGATGACTTCGAGGATGGCGATGAGATATACGAGGCGATCGGACAAGTGTTGCACGAAGTGGCCGACAAATCAGAAAACGAGGTTAGGTCTGTAAATATGTTCACATTTCATCTTTTTTGTTAATATATGTTTTTCTGAATGCTTATCTTCTTGGAAGGAAGTCATCGAGAGTTTTCCGATGATACACCACGACACAGTTTGATTCAGCTAAGAATTTACTCAGAGTTAAAAATCCATGTTTTTGTATTATGGCTATTAATAATTGAATAATTTGTATAAATCTTTATAAAGTATATATTGCAAGACAAAAATCAATAAGTTTATCAAGAATTTGTATACTTGCTATAAAAAAAGCACTCTATATTTCCTACTGTGTCAAATTTAGAGGATTGTAAAAGTTCATCAATTCTTTGATCTTTGATGGCGTGTGTTAAAATACAATTTCTATAATAGTTTTTTTATTTTGTACATGCAGGCAAATATGTGTGAAATTATTGGAAATATTAAAGGGCAGCTCAAATAATGATGACATAAATAGGAGAAAAAATGGTGTTAATAAAGTATTAAATGCTCCAGTTCATTTGGGATCATTAGCTGCTACTTTAGAAGCCCAAGTTGAACAAATTAAGAGTATATGGGTTACTACTAGAGATGATGGAATGGTAATAAAACTACATATATGAGCACTCCTAATATGTAGCTATTCTAAATACAATTTTAAATATAATTTTATTGGAAGTATTTTATATATGTATGTAATATTTTCAGTTATTTACACATAGATTATATATATATATATATGTATATATTGCTTATTTTTTTTATTTCAACAGAAGGTAGATGCTAAAAAATTAGAAAAGGCTGAGGCTAAATTGCAACAAAAACAAGAGAAACGTATTGTAAATGAACAAGGATCAGCCTCTCGTATTAACACTGCCAATTATTCGACTGAAAGTGCAGCTAGCGCCAGTCAAATGATGAGTAAAAAAGATAGTAGAATGGAGACCAAAGGTGGAATGAATAAAACGCAAGATATTAGAATTGAGAATTTTGATGTTGCGTACGGCGATAGAGTGTTGTTGCAAGGTGCTGACTTAACGCTTGCTTTTGGCAGGCGATACGGTTTAATTGGTAGGAATGGTCTTGGAAAGACCACTTTACTTCGAATGATTTCAAGGTATTATGAGACAACTTTATTACATTAGTTGATCTAGTAATGATACATTCAAGTAACACGGAGAAATTTTCATTGATTTAGTAAACAGCTAAGGATACCGTCGCACGTGCGAGTGTTGCATGTCGAACAAGAAGTAGCCGGCAACGACACATCCGCGCTAGAGTCTGTATTGGAATGCGATCAAGAACGAAGCGCGTTACTCAGTCAAGAGGCAAGATTGCAAGCAGCGATAGAGAAGGACGGCTCCAAAACAGGCGATGCGTTAGGCGAAGATTTGGCTCGGGTGTATGAAGCAATGCAATTGGCCGAGGTTGACAAGGCGCCCGCTAGAGCAAGCGCTATATTATCAGGACTTGGATTTTCCGTAGAGAGACAATCTTGGCCAACTAAAGCGTTTTCCGGTGGTTGGCGAATGAGACTCGCTCTCGCAAGGGCTCTATTCTCTAAACCAGATCTGTTGCTACTTGACGAACCAACAAACATGCTCGACATCAAAGCGATACTCTGGTTAGAGAAATATTTACAAACGTGGCCGACAACATTACTCGTGGTATCGCACGATCGGAAATTCTTAGACACAGTAAGTTTACTCATATGTATATCTTTTGTCTTTACTTTAAAAAAGAGTATAATATTCAACATATTTTGTGTATAGACTCATTATTCTTATTTATTTTTATTTTGTCAACAGGTGCCTACTGATATTTTATATTTACGTGGGCAAAAAATAGAAGCATATCGTGGTAATTACGAGCAATTTGTGAAAACGAAAGGCGAGCGTGAACGAAATCAACAACGAGAATATGAGGCTCAACAAGCGAAGCGAGCTCACGTACAAGAATTTATTGACAAATTTCGTTATAATGCAAATCGAGCATCTAGTGTACAAAGCAAGATAAAGATGTTGGAGAAATTGTAAGTGTGTGAACATCTTGTTCGTTAGTTGAGATTTAAACTTGTACTTTTCTGTTTTTTACATTTTTAATTGTTACACAGACCTGATTTGAAGCCAATGGAAAAAGAGAGTGAAGTAACACTCAATTTCCCCGATGTTGAGCCATTGAGTCCGCCGATATTGCAACTCAACGAAGTTTCCTTCAGCTATAACGCAGGTGATATGGTATTTAGCAATGTGAATCTTACTGCCAGTTTACAATCGCGCATTTGTATTGTCGGCGAAAACGGAGCAGGCAAAACTACCCTCTTGAAAATCATCACAGGCGCATTGAGTCCGACGCGAGGCACGGTGCATGTGCACCGTAATTTAAAATTCGGATATTTTAGTCAACATCACGTCGATCAATTGGACATGCGCGTCTGTCCCGTCGAATTATTACAAATGCATTTTCCAGGTAATCTGATGCGCAAAATGATTCGTTTTATTAAAAACTTCAGAAAAAATACACTTGATAATGTTTATACGCGCTATTACAGGCAAGCCAATCGAGGAGTATAGACGAATGCTTGGAAGTTTTGGAATAAGCGGCAATTTGGCGTTACAAACAATAAACTCCCTTTCAGGGGGACAAAAATCCAGAGTTGCATTTGCCTTGATGTGCGCTGCAATGCCTAATTTCCTAGTACTTGATGAGCCCACGAATCATCTCGATATCGAATCTATTGAAGCTCTGGGAAAAGCTCTCAATAATTGCCAGGTACGTATATCTTATTTAGGCCACAACTGTAGATCTAATTACAATTAGTTTTTCACATGTATGCGTTTTATTGTTACAGGCTGGTGTAATATTAGTTTCGCATGATGAACGTTTAATTCGAATGGTTTGTACAGAATTGTGGGTTTGTGGAGAAGGATCTGTTCGGTGCATCGAAGAAGGTTTCGATGAGTATCGCAGAATTATCGAAAGAGAGCTTGAATTATAAAAAGTTGAGTTTCTAATGTGATATATATATAATCATCTTACGTTGTTTTGTACTAAATATACATATACATATATACATATATATATATATATATATATGTGCACATATATTTATGTATATATAGTAAAATTTTCAATAAGTATCACGACTTTAATTGCAAACAACGACTAATATCATCATTATGTAATGTTTTATTTTTTTCAAAATTTTTCTTATATATAAATGTGAAATAAAAACAAATATTTTATTGCCAAAGGTATCTTAGTTATTTTTAGATGTTTTCTGAAACGTATTTTAAATATATCAACTATTATAATTAGATACGTTTTACTTATTTATTTAACAATTCTTTCTTTTTCAGCAATTATTTACAGAATGTAATTTTTAGCTCATACGAATTTAATATCTTCAATTATTTATCTTTCTTCAATGAATTGAACACTAATATGCTTTATATCCTATTACGTACAACTAAATATTTGGAAAGTTGCAACTTTAATAATACTCCACTATGAGAGTAGAAAAAATAATAAAAAAATATAGGTAAACATATTTCTACATATTACATTTGTACCAATACAGTAGTAGTCATTATCTTGCATGTATGTAAAAACAAATTGTATTTTTACTATACTAAAAGATACAAGATATATAATTAAATTTAACTGCATAAATATATTATTGCAATTATATTTATTAATAATGAAAAATAAATTACAACTGTATATATATTTTGGCCTTTCTAAATAAATAATTACCAATAGTTAACAAATTATTTATTATACACTAGATGTAAATTAATGAATTGGTGTAATATTTACTAAGTTTACGAAAGTTGACAAGAAAACTATAGTACAATGATTGCAGGAAGGATAAATGAGAGTAGTATTGATTTTAGAATGAAAGATATGTTTTTTCATTTTAATATCTTTTACACTTTTGTTAATAGATAATAACAAGCCTAGAATTTCTAACAAGATTTTTTACACATGTAATTGAAATCTAGGTATATTAAACAGATTTTTTTTCTCTAAGATAAACTGTACAGAAAATATTGTCTAAAACGTTTTATTATATAAGTGAGCTCGCAAATCACTCACTCGCACACATTTTCTCTTTCTCTTACTCATACACAATTATACTCTGTTGATTTATCTCTTTCATATCTATTTTATAGTTTAACGTTTTGTGGCAGCATTGAGAAAATTTTTAATTAATACACTCAATTGAGTAATGATTTAAGTATATGTAAGTGATCAATATGCCAAAGGGGTTACATTGTTTTGCCACTGTTTATTCCCAGACGAAGTATTTAATGAATGCAGTGTATTAGGAGCAGAAGACGTTTGCAGAGGTGGAGCTGGAGCGTGTTGCTTTGCTGCTGTAATTTTTGAAATGCCACGATTATTTCCAATTTATATACTCATAAGACACAATATATGAGAAATGTATTTGGTACATTCTGTTACAGCACTAAATAAAAGTGCAAATTGCAGCATGCAGTTAATTTTACTGGTAAATGGCAATCAGTATAAGCTATATGTGTCATACATGTTTAGTTTCTTGATGTCTTGTGTCTTTGTTGAAACATAAAGTAAACAAGCAGCGATGGCAGAGGTTTGCAAAAAGAATCCTTGAAATGATATAAATGGAAAATAAAATAAATGTTTTATTCATGCATATGAATAACAAAATCATAAATAAAATGTTACAAATTTTATTTGCAAAAAACACATGCATATAATCAGCATAGTTAAAGGCTTCTCATAGCTCGAAATTTCATACTGCGTTACACACAGAGATCGTGAATTGATAGATACACACAACATGACGATTATGAACAACGAAAACTACTGCATATAAAAAAAAAGTTTCGGTATAAATTAACATTTCCGACAACAGCAATTGAAATGTGAGATATGAGAAGCAATATTTTATTTCGGTTTCAACCGATATTTGTTAATTTGATTATTTTTAGCGATGACAAACTCATGTTTATCGTAGAGATGTATATATACATATATGTTATTTTTGTGAGACAAAGAAAGAGTTATCGGAATATTTTACAGTGCTCCTGCGAATGAATTTATAGAAACCAAGTTTTTTGTTTCAACATAAACGTACAAACGAACGTATATTTTTCTCGCTTCTGACATTATCGTCATCCAAGATAAGTCACTGTTCAGAAGCCTTAACTACACTGATACTTAAAAAAGTACTTATTTAGGTGTGTAGTGTTCTACTAAGCGCTGTGAATGTTGTTTTAGAAAAAAGCGTGCGTTATCATTACGTTGCTATTTTACGGCAAATTTAAAGAATGTTTCTTGTCGATTTTTCTCACCGTTCCTACTGCTGTAAACTTTGACGAAGCCTTTGAAGGGTTCCGGCTGCGGAAAACTCGACACAGGATGAAACATCTCGGCGAATCGTACTTCCAGGTCGACAGAACTTACCACAGCTTGACCACTACCGTTGCGCACTGATAAACTTCTGGTTGGAGGAGTCGGAGGGGGTGGTGGCGGTCTCTGTAACGTAGGTGCAGGACGATGAGGCAATGGAGGTGGCGGTGGTGGTATACATGGCGCAGTAACCGTGACTCTCGACGGCGGCGGCGGAGCTGCTCTCATTACTGGTGTAGCGGGAGTAGTGCTCGGCCGTGAATTCGGCGGCGATGGAGGTTTTGCTCGTGGAGTCGGCGGAGATGGCGGTCTTGTAGGCATAGCGTGCGCTCGAGAAATTGGCGGCGACGGTGGTCTCGTTACGGGAGGCCTAAGAATTCGATTTGCAGGTCTTGTAGGTTGCGGCGTGGTTGTTTCATTCAAGCAATCCTGCGACTGATGCAGGGACGACGGCGTCGATACTAGAACCGGAGATGAACGTGGCAGTCGCATGCTTTGCGCTCTCGCTACGCTCGCGCTGCTCGTCAGATTCAAATTCTTAGGTGGCGGCGACGGCTTTTGCAATGTGAGAGACGGCACTGCTTTAGGCGCAACTGATTTCGCGTATCCTCTCGGCATAGTGTCCGAATTGCTCACCGCGGAATCAGTAGTACTTTGCCCCTGCTGAAATCGACAACTTTACAAATGCAAATCGTTGCACACTTTTAAAACCTAGTTAAATAGATCTTTTTACCTGACTGTATAATTGTGGCTTCTGTGTAGCCGGTGGTGGGATCGGAGGTGGACCACGTCTTGTCGTACTGTGAGACGATCCAGATGACGAGTGAAGAAAACTAGAATTATTCGTATTTTGTCCTTCTTTCTCGGTTATATTTCCTCTCAATCCTGTGGGTTTTAATTTTGGTATACCACCCGCAAATAAACCACCCAGTGACATAGGCCCGCTATTACTGGAATTATTGCTGCTATTCGCTACATTGAAGTTGTTATTCTTACTATTAGTACTTAATAATGGGCTTGATCCTTCGCCCATTACTTTTCCTGTACAAAAAAAAGAAGTAAATATAATTTTTTATTTCTTATCACATCTTACATTCTGATTGATATGACAACAATCTTATGCTTTTAAACAAACCAACGTTTTAATTTGCATACAAAATTTACTATAGAGTTTAGTATTACTCTTTAATGTTTTACCAGAATAAGCAGGTGCACTTTTATCCATGGTAACAGTCTTTTTCAGGGTTTTACCCACCCTTATGGATTGCAACAGTGCGCTTCTGTTGTCACCTGCCATTGGTGGCGGACCACAGGCGTTGGCCTGTAGAGGTGGCGGAGGAGGTGGCACTGACATTCTCGTTATTCTTCTGCAAATCGTAAAAAAATTAATACTTGATCACTGATTCCTTGATAACAAGGAAAAAAAGAGAGATCGTATATTTCATGCATTTTTGCCACGAAGAAAACATTAAACAAGAATCGCGGTACGACAAACACTTCTAAGGAATTCATTCTTAATTTGTCGGTCATTTATTTACGATTTACGATTTCGGATCGTTCCATCAAGATGTGTCATTCGCGTGAAGGGGGGTGGGGAGAAGGGAAACTGGCCGTTTCCGTATTCGGATGTGAGAAAGTCCAGAAACAACGAAGCCCCCGGTCACAGGGACCGGCGTGTCCTCGCTGACGAGTCCCTCGGTAATTTTCTCGCTACATCCCGCGGCGAAATGTTCACGTGGACAAGAAAAACAGACATTCTTAGCGCAATGGGCGACAACACACCTTAAAGGCCGTTTTTATCTCTAACCACCGTAGTCTCTTGTGTCGACAGCGCACGACGTGTGCGATTCACAATGGGATTATTACGAGATGCAAGCGATTACCGGATTAAGCGATCGTCGCAGATGTGATTTACGTCCTCAGGAAAAGTTTGCGACCAATGACACCACTCATAATTAAAAAGAGATCTGGCGTCGTGCTCGACGTGATGATGAATCCGTGTACACTACACACTCGCAATTCGTGCTATGACACGGCGACACAGATCATGGCGTCAGATCCAGGCGAAAGAGGTTGGGGATCTTGAGTGCTTCACCCCACCGACGGCGAATCTTACGACCAGCTGGGCGTAGTATGTATCGCGCAAATCGTTTTTCCTGATCCGCGCTTCGATTGCGAGAGTGATTACGGATTCGAGAGAAATTCGTTCTTCAATGTTACACAAATTTAACAGCGTGTTTTTAGAACGTGCATGTCACTGATAAGTGATGTATAATCTAAACGACGCGTTGGTAAAACGTGATAAAACAAGCGCTAAGAAATAAAATAGAGTTCGTTAGTTACAAGTTTCTCTATATATCGGGCGAATTTTTTGATTCATCGATGGAGCAACAAAATTCGCTTGCTATATATTAGGCGATACTTTTCGCACATCATCGTGCGTTAATTTGTTAAATCCGTATTTTCATCTCTTTTACATGTTGAGATTATTTTGTTTTTATTTATTTTTTTAAGTCATATTTAGATAAAATGTCAAAATGTCTATATATACATAGATATAATTCTATTTATAAAACTAGATTATTTATAAATAAGTCTATTAAAAAATTTTTATCTAAAAATTAATGTTTTCTATATCACCTTACAACACAGATACCGGATTCCCGCTTATGCCAAGGCTGTGTTCAGTTAAGCAAGATGGAACGAACTAATGCAGGAAATGCAGGAAATACAGGAATTGGAACTAATGAATTCCTGTATTTCCTGCATTAGTTCGTTCCATCTTGCTTAACTGAACACAGGGCTGTGTTCAGGCTGTGTTCAGTTAAGCAAGATGGAACGAACTAATGCAGGAAATGCAGGAAATACAGGAATTGGAACTAATGAATTCCTGTATTTCCTGCATTAGTTCGTTCCATCTTGCTTAACTGAACACAGCCCAAGGGCAATGATTCGCTCTCGTTAATTCTTTCTCTCGCACTTTACATCCTATTGGCTGCGTTCAGCAGAACAGCCGCTTTGTAGCATTCGAATGTAATTGGCTCTTACTTTTTCATCAAATCAACATCGAGTGTTGACAAGACAACTCAGTATTTACTATGCTTAATCCGGCCATTAGCCGTACACTTGGTCATACAACAGCTCAAGGGCGCCCATCAATTCGGACCAATCGGAAGCTTAGCGGGCAAAGGTGGAAGAATTTAAATTTATTGAGAAACGTGACGAAAACTATATAGAATCGTCTTCACGGACACTAATTTTTGTATATATTAATATATTTATATAAACATTTTGTAATGTTACCCAGAACAATATTTACAATACAATTAAACAGGTATTTACAATAACAAATAGTTTTTACTTTTTGCCACAAGAACGATAAATTCATAAGATTCATAATTTGGAACCTTGTGCTTAAATGCTCTTATCCTATAAGGCCTTGTCTTGTAATCTGGAACATTCATATTATCATATATTTATCTATTATAACTGAAATACTGCAACACTGCTGATAAGAGAATTTCGTTATACGTTTAATAGATAATATATAATATATATAGAATATATATAGTACTTACTAAATTTTCTTATTGCCAGTGTTGTATCATAAGTGGTCTTTTGCAAAATCTTTGTTATATTTCATGTAATTGAAGAAAATTCTTTTTCTTTTTAATGTTTTCTTTATTCTTAGTAGTTTTCAAATAATTAAAAAATTAATCTTACTTTTTTAATTGTGGTACTATCAGCGCCGCTTCGTGAAAAATACAAGATCATCGACTAGTTATCTCACATTTTTACTCAACAATTCTATAATGTAGAGATCGAAGTCTCGTGCATTGATAAATGTGAAAAGTGAGTAAATTCACACTCCAGTAAAAACTGTAAAAGGCCTCCTCGACATAATATTAAAAATCGCTATCAAAGATCTCAGAATCTATTTTATCTATGAAAACAGGTACTGCTGAAGATGAAACTACTGGAGATATATCAACCAATGTATCAGTTATATCGTCGATCTTCCACATCTTTTTCTCCTCATCCTTGACGTGCCTAATACACTTATTCCATTGTTCAGCTGTTACTTGATCAATACCTTGCTCAACTAATAGTCTTACATCTTGTAGTTTATAAGTAGTGTTGTTACTCTTGACGTATCTCTTAACCATTGACCATATCAATTCAATTGGATTAAGTTCACAATGGTATGGAGGTAATCTGAGAACCTTCTTTTTATTCAATTTTGCTATTTCATCTATGACATATTTATCAAACTTGTGTTTGTTTTGTGCAACAATTTGCAATAGTTCAGCTTTTACCATATTCTCCGATACCTCTCTTCCTTTACTTTCCAACCATTGTATTATTTCGGCCTTAGTCCAGGAATGATTTGGCATTTTTTCCTTTTTCATAGAATGATATGGAGCGTTGTCCATGACAATAACAGCATTGTCTTCTAGCAATGGTAAAATATTTTGGAACCATTCCAGAAATGTGTCGTCATTTATTTCATCGTGGTAATCTCCTGTATGTTTCTTCGATTCGAAACATAGAAGTCCACCAGGAACAAAACCAATAGCACTGCCAATATGCAGAACAATTAATCCTTTGTCTTTTCCACCTGGATTAACTGGCTCCGTAGTCAGCCTATGGAGACATGCGTTCTTTTTGGATTTTACTGTTTTATTCATCGACACTTTATTAGTGACGTCACCGGCGTTAATCCAAGTCTCATCTAAGTAATAAATTTGTCGACCTTCTTCTCTATATCTCTTGATAGATCTCAGATAGTTTCTCCTCCAAACAATAAGATCATCTTTTTCTGTTAGGATGCGGTTAATATAAGTAAAATTTAGTTCCTTTAACAATGAGTAGAAAGTTGTTCGTTTAAAATTTGGCAGATTTTCATCGGCGTTTACAGCTTGCAGAACCTTATTTAACGTTGGTAAATCGTTATTAAAATAAAATTCATGGACTTTTCTTCGAATGACATTTTTGTCATATTCGTCGATTTTTTCTTTAAAAGATAGACGATGTTTCGTTGTATTTGGAGATTTAACTCTACCTGTACGCTTATATTCCGACAATATTTTTCTTATACTGTACATGCCAAAACCTGTCTGTTCTTTCAATTGAGTAACAGCATCTTTCTCAAAAATTTTTTGATTCTCTTTTATTATTTTTTTGTACAAACTGATAATTAAGAGCTTGTCACTGCTGTGAATCACCTGAAAGTACAAATAAAAACATATGTTTCACAAAAGAGTAATAACAAACTTTGAATATGAAATTTTAAGTATTTTTTTATATCGAAAAAATATTTAATCATTATTATAATCAATTTAAATTTTTTTACTTATTTTTTTCACAGTGAACGCACATTAAACTTTAAAAATATAACTTAAGTATACATAACCTTTACTATGCTATAAATAAATAATTTTTATTATTTACATCATTGTTTACCTGGCCTTGTTTGTTTTTCCTCACTGATGATGTTAATGACATTTTGGTATTTAATTTGTTTTCCATCGTATAATTAAGATATTTTCTGAATACTTCACTGAAAAACTCAAATACTTGTTGAATCAAATCGTTTGACGGTTGGTATTAACGGTTGTTTGGAGAATAAATGTTCAATGAGAAAAGAAGATCGAAGCGGACGAAAACTCGTCCATTTTGCGCATATTTCTTGTGAAAAAGCTCCCTTTACTCCACAGTCATTGGCTGCTAACGAGCGTCCCGCGCGCAACGTTATGCCCACTTTTCTTTTTTATGCGCAGATAAGGATATTCTCTCGTTGAAGAAAGTATATAGGCTTCGTTCCGTTTCACGCATATGCACGCATTTATCTATAGTACACGTGACGTATAGTATAGATAAACGCGCGTATATGCGTGAAACGGAACGCAGCTCATGTATGTACACCAGTACTAGAAATTTATAATATATGTCACGTGAACTAAAGATTTTTAGTACTGACAGTGAATAACGGAACGCAACTATTCTCATTGAATGAAAAATGATAGTATGAGTAGATGGGCAGTGATTTTTCTTTACTTTTGAGAGAGAGAGAGAAAGAGAAAGAGAGAGTACAACTCTTTCCCCCACAGCTTCTGTAATCTATCAAACTTTTTTGACACATGTGTTATTGTTTATACACAAATGTGAATGTGTTGTACATATAAGTGATATATTTTATTACATTTAGCAGCAGCGTGCATTACAATGTTTGCATTACTAGGAGAAGTAATTTTCTGGACTTTTGATGACAATATAAACATAGAAGATACCGATTTTGGCGCATTCAAGTAAAAATAAATATTATTATTTTTAATATAAATTGAAAGAAAAGAGATTTCTTTTTTTTTTTTTTACTATTTTATAAGAAGGAAATCTTATGATAATGTATTGCACTAATTTAAGTTTTTTAATTTCTCAGATATCATGACAAACGTGTCGATGGCGTTTATGAAGAAGGTAAAAAATCTTATTGTCAAGAACGTGGTATGACTTATGTCCCAGAAAACAAAAAAGGAAACAAATTGAAACATTCTATTAAGTATTTAGAGGTGTGAAAAAGTTTGTCTTTTCATCAACAGTTCAATGCTTCACACAAAATATACATATGTATATTTTGATATTATTTACAGGATCAGCTCAGAGATAATTCTGTAATTTATTGTCAGTGGTATGATGACTCTATTGTACAGTTAATGCTCAGCAATGGTTTATTGGTACAAATACAAGTTTGTCCCTTTACTGGTGACATACAAGAAATTCATTTGGATAAGTATCTTATAGGGAAATTATCAGAACATGTGTCTGATGGTAATGTATTATTTTATGTAACATATTATTTTTCTCTATCTGTCAAAATTTATATGGATAAGATATAATATTGTGTTTAACTTTAATTCACAGTAATTATTACCAAGAACCATGTAGTATGTACATACAATGATAATTTAGTAACACTAGTATATTTCACAAAGTCTAAAACACAAGTTTTTGACAAGATTAGCAAGCTGGAACCTAAATTAATCACAACAGATTTATTTGTACCTAATGGACGTAGATTAGATAAGAAGATTCAAGTGAACAAGAGTGCTGATCTGGTAAATATAGTAATATAACTCTAAATAATTTTTGTGAATTTTTTTATACATAAAATATTTAAATAAATGATTTATAAGAAACAACTTGCCTTTGTAGATTGTAATTTGGCGAAAATCCACAATGAACGAAGTTTATCCATGGAGTCCTGCTATGAAACAATATCATCGAGCAAACATGCATCTCTTTCGACTTACAGGGTAAGGAATAAACACTAATTGGCTATGTGGACATATCCTTTTTGACATCTTTTTCATTTTTTTTCTTTTCTGTGCATACAGATAGTTCTTGGGGTTTGTTTTCATGGTCTTTGTTTGCTGAATCTGGATCAACAATTTTCTTTTTCTTTTGTTTTGCTTGTTGCATTTTCTTACAAAAATTCTGATGCATCTTCCTGTGCAATTCCCATAAGTTTTTCTTATACTCAGGAGTTTCTGATAATTTTTTTGCAACGCTTTTAGTAATCTTCCTTGGTAAATCCCATGTGGTCTTGCCATAACATTTATTATTATTGTTATATATACATACATATGTTATATATACATATATTTTTTGTTTATCTAAACTTAAATTATGTTATGTATAAAGATAGATAAATTTACGTTTTATAGAAAAAATTTTAATCATATTTTATATAATAACAAAATGCTATTTTAAAGAAACCTTGTATGTTCCCCATGGTGAATGTTTGGCTTTTTTTATGTTGTCTAATATGTGTCCTCTATCATTCGTGATAAATTTCGTAGTAACACAATGTTTGTCCGGCCAACTGGGGTACCATTTAGGAACTTCCCAATTTCGCAATCTCTTGGGAGTGAAAGTGGTCTCTGTCCAGTGACCATGCCAATTTTGCGACATTTTTATATGATCAACTCTTTTATAATTTCAATATGTGTCAAATCTCAAGTTTTGTTTGCTTTTACTCTTTGTATTAAATATAGTTATACTTGTTACTATGCGTTGCTATGGTCATGTAAATCGATTATATTTTCATAAATATTACTGTATGTAATGTAGTAGTGACAATGAATGTGTGTATAGATAATAAGATTTAAATTTTCAGAACAAAATTAGACTTGTTATGTTACATACGTACTGAGTTTGATCCCTTGTGTATTACGTTTGATGCGTATGATGACAATATTATTCATTCCGTAGAACAAAAAGTCTCAAGAAAGGTAATTATTGCGTATAGTTTAGAATTTGTGTTTTTTAATTTATAATTCTTTTTTATTAAAAAAAAAAAAACATTAATATAATTTAGGGAGAGGTCACTGTTGAGTGGCGTACTTACGAGGTTTCTCGGCAGAATAAATTAAAACGAATCGCCGTGATTTCTGTGCCACTGCCGACGCACACGAGTTGCGTGAGATTTTCGCCTGGTCAGGAATTATTGCTGCTATGCTGCATCGATGGCACTATTGTAATGTATGATCAAACAAAATTGGCAACCAACAGTGTGAAAGCAGCGTTTGTAAGTCTCATATACAACAAATTTATGTTATTAAAAAAGTTTTAAAAAAGTTGAAAATTTTTGTTCTTTTTGTTTCAAAAGATACCTACTTTAGCTGCTTGGCACAGCGACGGTATGATATTCGTGGTGGGCAACGACAGAGGCCAGTTTCAACATTTTGATCTCACTTTAACTTGCATTAAAAGCCAGACTTTGAGCGACGAAGCAACGCCTGCGAATATTCTCGACTTATCGCCGTATTTTAGGTATGAAAATTACGGACAATGAGACAATTCACGGATAGGGTCATATATAATGACTGATGGTATCATTTTATATAATGACATATAATTGTACTACTAGGAATCAGCATGCTCTATTACGTATGGAATGGAACAGGAAGAGCGATCTAAATCAGATTCGCTATTACAGTAACGGCAATTCTCTGTTCTTGCTGCTTTTTGAACGGTAACATTTTAACGTGTACAATACATAAATTTCATATATTTCATTTTTTGATCCACACGTCTAAATCATTAAGCAATGCTTTATTAACAGAGGACCAATCGGTGTTATTAAAGTGATTGAAGGTGACACTCTCTCCGGGGATGAACTAGTCAGAAGATACTTGTGTGAATCTCGGGTAGAACAGGCAACTGCCTTACTGTTGTCAATGAATTGGGACACACATTCGCGTGTGTGTATGCATTCACTCAATCAAATCTTAAATTATTTATTCAAATTACCGTTGACAGCGGAACGAGAAGGTGATACAAAACTTCATTAGTTTTACGACTCGATTATTCATTAATTAAATTATTTACAAAAGATTAAAAAATACGTAATTTTATTTTATTAGCTCTGATACAGAACGCACTGGGTAGTTTTCATGTGCCTGTTAAACCAATAAGTCAGGCAGTTGAAGAAGAATATGGAGATGAAGTGAGGGACTTGACAAGACGATTCTTCCATTACCTATTGAGGTAACGCATTTTATCTTCTCCTTTCCGTTTTGTAATCTCGTGTCGTATTGTGACAACCATAAACTTTTGTAGATACAGAATGTTTGAGAAAGCCTTCAGATTAGCTATTGATTTAAATGATCACGATCTTTTTATGGACATACATTTCTACGCTACGGTCCTGAATAATACTGAACTGGCAAATGCGGCCAAAGAGAAAGCTGAGAATATTTTGAGCAGATCGAATAGTTGCAGTGACTCACGTAAGAATCGAGATAAGAGATTTTCCGACAAGAATACTGCGAAACAATTAATACATCTAGGACATTTTTCTTTATTAGATTCGACATGTTCACGAGCATCGTGCTCCATATGCTCCGATTCGGGCAACGAAAATGACGAGGAAGGAGAGGAGGAGAGAGAGGAAAGAGAAGAAAAAGAAGAACAAGAAGAAACTTATAGCGAAGAGAGTGAAGATTCTCGAAAGGAAGAAAGAAACAGTTTGAAATACTCAAAGAGACACCGTTACAGAAAAGCCGCTACTTCCAGTCAAATCCCGCCCCTACCGGTTGTTCGCCCCCACAGTATCAAAAGTACTGTGCTCTCCCAGTCTTACAACAAGATCCCATTCGCCAATAAGACTGACTATAATTTAATATCTTCGTCTTTTGACAATTCTAATATCTTAACTACCACTTCGTTTAGTCACTCTTCGCATATTTCGAGTCCATTTCTGGCATCGACTTCCTTCAGCAAACCATCATACAACACACACTTAAATTTCACATCAACTAGTACAGCGAACAATGTTATCGACAGTTCTCCGACGTTTAATAACGTATCAGACGATTTGATGAGCACGTCGTTCGGCAGTATTTCTCTCGCCGCATCGGAAATGATGGTTGATAAGCCCAGCAACAACTTCGACGAAGCGTCGTATCGCAGAGCGTTACTTAATGAAATTCCGTATTCCTTCAACGATACCGCAAATGCGATGCCGACTTGTGCGCAGGACGACAGCTTTATTTCAACATCTTTCAACAAACCGGTATATGAATCCGAAAACATTCAGTCTAATTACTTGACGAATCCGTTAGACGTTGTTGACAACAATATCGTATCGACGTCGTTCAGCACACGAATCGGCGCCACTCCTGTCTCGCACATTTTCAACAATAAGTCTGAAACGACTTCTTCCACGTTACGAAACGTGAAATCTTCCAAGATATCTGATAAACTGTTAACCAAAATCCTCAGTGATACCGACGCTCTCGCAACGGAACAATCGTCTCTTCTGGACAATACCTGTAACAATCTAATGTCCACCTCGTTCAACTATCCCGAAACTGGTGCAGCTGCTGAAAGCAGTAATATTGCATCATTTTCCAACGCGTTTATCAGCGCTAACGATCAAGTCGCAAAGTTACAACATTCGGTAACGGAAGAAAAGGAAACGAGAGTTCCGCCATCGTCGTCTCTGACAAGTTCTTTCGCTACTTATGTCTATGGTTTACCGAAAAAAAATTATCCCTTGTCCAGGAGTACTCCAGGTTTGACAGATCTCGATGAATCGATTCATAAATTTTCACCGAGCAGCAAACCGATGCACATAGCGTCGCGCATATTGCAAAAACCGAACTCTATGTCTAACATTTCTCAAAGCCAAAAAGCGTCTTTTAAAAGTTACAAATACGATTACGATCTGGATTACATATCTTTTCATGGCACTCGTGACAACACAGATCTACAAATAACCGGCAGAAAATTTGTTCCGCAAAATTTTCATCTTGGTTACAACACACAACATAAATTACTCGAAACCAGGTATCCAAGATCTATTCAAAACAATTCGAATGTTAATGCAAACAGAGAGACCAAATTGTTTTCTAATGTACCACCTCTTCCTGTAATTAATACGTCTACTGCCAATGCAAAGATCTCTACGTGTCCGCCATTCGTCGATACGCCAGTAAGTTCGAACGAAAAGCCGAAAGTGAAGTTCTCTGACACTGTTACTCATATATTAGTACCTGGTACCGTAAGTGTATACATAGTTTCTAGTAAATCAATTATATACATATATATTTTGATACTCATACATTAAATTACATACATGATTTACAGAGTCAAATACATCGGCAAAAACGGCCTACCACACAAGCACACATAACGGATCCTAAACGTGAATTAGCTGAAAGTCTTCCACTCTGCTTAGGTAATGAAGACTATCTTAAAGATTTTCAACCATTGTCTAGTAAGTATATCTTGTGTTAACACGTCTCTGTTAAAAAAACATTTTTAATTGTAATTTAATTCATTTGCAATATTGCAGAAGATGATGCGGATGAGAAAGTAAAAGAATCGTCCAAGTCTGATGACAGTACAAAGATTAAAGTGGTGCATTTTGGATTATTGTAAACTTCCAGTATTATTAAGAGAAAGATATATTAATTTCTATTAGAGTTAACTTCTAATCTACTTAAACTTTTTCTCTTTTTCTTAAAGAAAATAAGACTGTATATTATTAAAAAACTATTTTGTACAAATATTTTTTTACAACTAAAAAGGGTGTATATATCTCAGGAAAATAAAAATACTTTGGTCCTACAAGAAAAAGCGTGTGCAAATAATCAGAATCAACACGTGAAAATAACGTGACTGTAATTTATATTATATATAACATTAAATTATACATATTATACATATATAATTTATTATATATTTATAATATTATACTTTATATTGTATTATATGTATTATATACATACTACAGAATAATGTCACTGACATCCGCCGCGCGGTCTTGGCGGGGTCACTGACCTCGGCCGCGCGGCCTTGGCGGGGTCACTGACCTCGGCCGCGCGGCCTTG